TATCTCAATATACAGAGTTTAGTGGCTAATAAAGTTGAGCTAGAAATACTTATAGATTTTACCGACCCGGATCTACTTTTGTGTTCCGAAACATGCCTAACTGATGACATAGAGGATACGGAAATAATGTTCCCGGCGTATCAGATGATACGCTGCGACTCACACAGTAGACACACAGGGGGAGTGATAATACTCGTTCGAAACAACCTACTTTCTGAAGGTGTTATTAAGGACTCTGTTGATTATATGGGATATTTCTATGCCCTACTTATAAATAAGAGTCTCCAGACAGGATCAGTACCGGAAGAATGGAAAATTTCATCAATAGTGCCCGTCAAGAAAGTTAGAAAAACGGTTAAAGCTGAGGAGCTTAGGCCCATCAATACTCTCCCTAGCTTGGAAAAAAATGCTAGAAACCGTTGTGAAAAACCAGCTACAGTACTATGTGGAATCCAATAAAATACTCATAAAAGAACAATCTGGATTCAGAGCTAAACATTCCTGTGAGACTGCGCTGAATCTGGTGCTTTCTCAATGGAAAGAAGATCTGAACAGACACCTTAATGTAGTGGCAGTGTTTATTGATCTTAAAAGAGCATTTGAAACCGTTGATAGGGTCCGAATGTTGGATAAACTAAAATACATTGGTATAAAAAACACTGAGCTTGACTGGTTTAGAAGCTTTCTGTGTAATCGTAGGCAACAAACAATAGTTAATTCAAAGAGGTCTAGTAAGATAGCCGTAGACATCGGATTACCACAGGGCTCAGTTTTGGCACCCCTACTCTTTAATATATATATAAACGATATTAAAAGTTCTCTCAAACATTGTAAAATAAAACTCTTTGCGGATGATGCCTTGTTAACGATCAGTGATAGGGAACTACCAAATGCGATTGTCAAAATGCAAGAAGATCTTAATTCTGTGTATCAATGGCTGTGTTCAAATAAACTCAAACTGAATGTGAAAAAGACTAACTTTATGGTATTTTCCAGAGCGGCAAATGCTGACTCCATAAGCCGTGAATTAAAAATCAAAGATGGAAATATCGAAGAGGTGAAAATTGTCAAGTACCTAGGAATATACATAGACAACAAACTAAAGTTTGATGAGCACGTTGAGTATACAGTCAAAAAGATTGCTAAAAAAATTGGCCTTATAAAGAGATCGTGTAAGTACTTGGGAAGAAGATATAAAACGTTGGTGTACAGGTCAATAGTAGAACCGCACTTTATATACTGCCCCACGATTTTCTTCCTAGCGGGGGACTCCCATGTAGATAAGCTGCAAAAAATGCAAAACCGAGCGATGAGATTCATCCTCAACAAACCGTATGACACACCAACAAGATGTATGCTTGAAACCTTGAATTGGTTAAGCGTGAAGCAACAAGTTTTTTACCACGCTATGAAATTTGTGTACAATATTAAGAAGGGCAACCTGCCGGATTATCTTAGCGATAATCTCCGATATTTAAATGAGACGCATACATATTTGTTGAGAGAGAATAACAGCTTCAGACTCCCGAAGTATAGAACAGAAGTGGACAAAAAAAATATTTTCTATAAAGGCTTAAAGTGCTTCAATGAATTACCAGAGGCTATAAAAAATTGTGATACTATCACTCTTTTCAAGCGGCTGCTATTTGACTATTGTAGAACGCAGCCTACAAGATAGTGATGTATCAACAATAGCGTGGATTGGAAACTAGGCCTTTCCAACCACCAAGATATCGAGACTAGGCGGATCGGAAACTCGGCCTTTCCGACTACCTAGACCCTTAGATAATAAACAATAAACGAGCGGATTGGAAACTAGGCCTTTCCAACCGTTAACCGTCACGAAAGCGCGACTGGGTGGATCGGAAACTCGGCCTTTCTGACCACCCAGGAGATATCAATAAATGGAGTAACCCAAAAAGAATAGCGCGGATTGGAAACTCGGCCTTTCCAACCGTCTACATAACTTCCAGGAAATTGCATGCGTGTATAATGACATAAAATAATTGCAGTGATAAAGAAATAATGTTATTTAAAAATTTCTGTAGAGCATTTTGTATTTTGTATTTAATATTTAATATTTATATTATATTTTAAATCTAAAATCTAATTATAAGAATGTTAAATCTTTGTTGCAATATAAGTCTAACAGACTGTAAAAAATAAATAAATAAATAAATAAATATACCTACAGAGGATTAAAACGGCATGCCGGTCGACTAAAGCGGTTTGTCAAACTTAAGAGCTAAATAAATCACACATATAGGGCATTCGCACGAGGCGATTTTTCAGGCAACTTTTAGTAGAAAGCAAAAATCGCCTCGTCCGAACGGCCTTTCAACTAATCGCATTCAACAAAGTTGGTCGCCAGCCAACTTTGAGCTCGTTCAACTTTTTTTCCTTGCAACCCTGTGTTTGTTTACATTCTGTATCAGTGTTGGGATATGAAATTTGTTCCTTCAGTACGAAATCTATACAAAAAATGTACTTTTCGGCTATAAATTGTATACACTTTTTGAATCGCTCATATATTTTCTTAGTACATTCCCTTCAAGACCAATGATTTTATGGTATTCATGAGAAAGTTTTATTGTTTATGTACATACGTTTACGTATTTTACACTTTTACAAATTGATTCCACGTGCACATGTATTGCATTTAACTCAAATATGTATGCACACATTTTCAGGTATACATCTTAACAAAAAGCATATTTAAGTTATTATTAATGGATAAAAGAGGCATTTTCTTTGGATTCAGTACTAAAATTTGACATTTTAATAGAATTTCAAGTGATTATCAAAACTTTACGAGAAGATTTGACCATTTATCTTAATATTATTCAATTTTAATTATTTTTTGTAAAAATACGCTTTATATTTTAAGAAAAGCCGTACAAATCCAAGGTTCAAACTTTGTGCAACATTAAAAAAACCAACACACTTTCGTAAAAATTTCGATCTATTTAATTCGATTTCCTAGATTTATTTTGAGTGTGTAGTTTTTTGGCCCATTAAATTTTAATATAACTAAGTTTTTTAAGATTTCTTTGATGAAGGTGTTGCTAATTTCCTCCATATAAAAAAATCATCCAACACACTTCGTATGGAAGCAAATGGCTGACATCGTCGACAAAACGAAATTGCCAAGTTCAACGGTAAGTCCCAGCTACTTTAAACTTGCACTTTATTATACTAAAATTGAATGGGCTAAAAACTGAAGAATATTAATAAAGCTCGAAATTTTTACGACAGTATGTTGGTTTTTGGATGTTTCGCAAAGGTTTAATCTTGGGTTTATACAGTTTTTCTAAAAGAATACATTATAGTTTATAAACAGATAATTAAAATTAAAGAATAATAAAATAAATAGTAAAACCTTGTCAATATGTGAGTGCCGTAAAGGTATTATATTTAAGAAAATCTCTTCTTATAACTAACGAAGACTTTGTTTCTATATGAAGCTGACTTCGACATTTTGTTTTAATAAAACTTAGTATCGAAAAGTTTCTTTAAAAATTTGGCTAGGCTATGTTATACTGGTTCGTTCAAGCCATTATTCAAAACTTACAAAGGTAAATACGAACAGGTGAACTGTGAATTTTCAGAGCTATATATTTTTAGTATTCATTACAAAATTTTACTAAAAAGTACTGCGTAGTAGGAAAGTATATTGCAAATGAAATTGTATCAAACAAGTACAATTGTACCAAAAATGCCAACACTGTTCTGTATACATACTTTTTTTTCTTTTTTACTTTTTTACTCTTATTTTATCTTTCAGCTTCGCTTAAAGCACTTCTACCAACGCTTGGCTTACCAAATTTACGCCAATTGATAAAATTTTGCGATTTAAATTCATTTTCAATAATGTAAATAACGATTCGTGTTGAATCCAAAATCGCCTCGTCTGAATAGAGATGGCAACTTTTTCACTTTCAACTTCTCATTCAACTACGTATTCAACTTTTGTTGCCTGTAAAATCGCCTCGTGCGAATGCCCTAATAGGGACACGAATTTCGATTCGATACGATACCATATCGATACTTTTGGCATTCGATACCGATATTTTCTACTCGATAGTTTTGAAACGATATTTTTTGGAATCGAGTACCAGAACCCTAGTATCGTATCGAATGTAATAAACTCACTGTTCAATATTATTGCAGTCTTTTACTTTCCTACTAAATTTTGCAGCCCTGTAATGTTGTACTGAACATTGAATTGTTTACCTTTTGCAACCCTGTAATGGCAACTGAGAATTGTATTTTTTTGTAATAAACTCTCTTGAATTCTGAATTTTTAAAGAAAAGACACGCGGTTTTTTCACTTAACCTTAATTTTATACAAGGATAATGTTATTAACAATTCTTTCCGATATAAATTGGGCTTTTAAGAGCAGAAATGTGTAATATAGTTAGGATTGCATGTGGCGGAATTTGAACCCGCGACTTCGCGACTATGAATAGCTTTAGTTGTGACTTACTGCCGTCCCTAAATTGGAGCGCCAAGCGTTGCGTTATCCACTGTCAACGAGTGTCAGCGCGCGCTATCCCCAAATCAACGCGTCGTAATTTTTGACGTTTTCTCAGGTCCTCTCGTTTTTATTCTCGTTTCCTCTTTTACTTTTTTGTCCTTTCTCTTTCTTTCCGTCTTCTGCATCCAACTTCAACACGTAACGCCCAGTCAAAAATGAAAATTCCATTTGCTCGGGTTAGCGTCGCGTTATTGTGGGATGTTTCATACAAATTGTATGGGCATGAGGATTTTTGACAGTTGCTTGGCGCTTGACGCGCCAATTTAGGGATGGCAGTTAGAAAAGTTTCGACTTAGTTGAGTACTAAATATGACTATGAATATGCGCCAGTGAACTTTTGGGATCCAAACTGACCAAAAAAGTACAATTGTACTATCAATTTCATCACTGTTCTTGGCTGGTAAAGTTTCTGTAATAGGGTGGCAACGGCAAATCCATTTGATTTCGTGTTTTTATTGTTGTTGCGCTGTCATGGCGTAATTTCCCTTGGTCTTCTTTGAAAAACACAAGTATTGTTAAAAAGTGAAGTTTCTGAAAATTCTGTGCAAAGCAATTTAAAAAATTTGATTCGAAGAAGAACGCGGGCATTATTGTTGACTAGGGCAAAAAGTTCGCGTAATATAAAATGAGTGAATTCTTTAAATCTGCAATGGGCTACTTCAATACAGCCCCAAACCCGAATACAGTGGCAGATTCTGTCCTTGGAAATTCTGGCAGCGTGTCTCCTAGTGAAAACATAACGACAAACGAGTTCTGTGGCCAAGTTGTTGAGGTAGCAGGTCAAAAGCTCGGTGTAAAGCGTGTTATTGCAGAAGGTAAGCATCTTCTACTGACCCCCAGTTTGGGTGTTTGCAATATTACTGGTATTTTGCCACCTATGAATAATCTGAGCAACAACGAAAAATCAATAGTGCAAACCATTCCTGCACCTCGACAGCTAATACAATGAAAATAAAAATAAAACCCTTTTCTTTTATTAAATAAATTTATATTAGTAACAATATAAACTAGTCAAGTAGGTACTTTTACTGCAACTCCTCGGACTTATGTATCTGATATATTTAAATTTTTGGGTACTTTATGAATTTGTACAACGCCCAAACTCTTGAATCGAATCAAAAACCTTTTACACACACTTGTAGACAACAGTTCACGCTTTATTACAAAAATTTACTATATCTGTGCGCTAATTTATTAATAATGTCGGTTGTAAATATGGTATTTTTTGCAAGTTTCCGAGCTGAGCTGTAAAAAAAAAATATCCACAAAATATCTCTACAAAAAGTGTTCAGCCCCTCTTCTTTAGCAAAACATAAAGAAGAATTCTACTTAGTGAGGGTTATAATCCCTAAGCGCGCCCGAGGCCGCCTACGCAGAAAGCTGTTTTCTGCAAAAGTTGTTCAGCCCCTTTTCTTCAGGTGTTCAGCCCCTCTTCTTGGGCAACAGAGAAAGTAGTAGTGAGGGTTATAATCGTTTTGGAAAAAATCCAAATTTCCCATGTTTTCAAACAGCTCCCAAGGGTTCTTTAGGGGGCCGGGAGGGGGACGGGGTTGAGGGGTGACTTTTCATAAAGCGGCGTTCATCCTCTTTTGTTTAGGGGGTTTTGGGGAGCCACGCCCTCCCCCTCCGTCCCCACCCCTAAATCGTTGTACATATAGCTAAAGATCTCCCAAATTTTTTAATTTGGAATAATTTTGGACTGATTTTTCCATATATTAAAATAATTGAAATACCCGTAAACAATACACATAATCATAGGAATAGGTAGTCCCAATGCATATAAAATTTAATAATATTCTTTTTATCTGTTATCACTAATCATTCTTATCAAGTTTTCCTCGGCATTCTCAAACTTGTATTATTTTGTATTTAATTGCAGGCGGTTTTGCATTTGTATATGTCGCTCAAGATGTTCAGACGGGAAAAGAATACGCCCTCAAACGTCTCATTGGCACTGATAAGCAAGCTTGCAATGCTATCATTAATGAAATTAACACACACAAACAGCTTTCTGGTCATCCAAATATTGTTGCATTTGTTGGAGCAGCATTTGTTGATAAAACAACTGGACCTCAACAGCGTGCTGAATACTTGCTATTAACGGAGCTTTGTAATGGTAAAATGAACTCGCAACAAAATAAGCTTAAATTTCATTTCCGTACATTTTCAAACAAAAAGGAGGATCGCTTATAGATTGCTTGAATGCATCACTAGAACCTGCTTTGGTGCTACGTGTTTTCTACCAAGCCTGTCGAGCAGTGGCTCATATGCACAGTCAGTCTCCACCTATGACACATCGCGATATTAAGGTAAGCGAATAAATCCAAGAGTCTGCATGCAGGTTATGGTTAATTGATTTTCATTTTATTTTTGGCAGATTGAAAACTTTCTAATTGGAAATGATAAACTACTTAAACTTTGTGACTTTGGATCAGCAACTAAAGACACATATGCCCCGACTGTTGATTGGGGAGCTAAACAACGAAATCTTCTGGAGGATAAGGTGCATACTGTAATTAATTAATTTTTAATATAAATGGTTAATATGCATTGGGTTTCCACTCACATTCCAGCTCAGCTCTGTTACAACACCAATGTATCGTGCACCTGAAATGTTGGACACCTGGTCAAATTATGAAATTGGTATAAAGGTGGATGTTTGGGCTTTGGGTTGCGTATTATATGCTTTATGTTTTCAAAAACATCCTTTTGAAGATTCAGCTAAATTGCGGATCGTAAATGGGAACTATATTTTACCTACCGATCCTCGTTTTCACTGTTTTCATGAAATAATCAAAGGTAATAATATAAAGTATATTAATTTGAGATTATAAACTTAGTTCGCTCTTTAGGGTGTCTAACTGTGAATCCAGCGCTTCGCTTTAATATTTCGACGGTTCTAGAACGTCTGGCATCTATAGCGGAAACAAAAAATTGGTCGCTGAAAAGTGGTCTTGAATTACGCGGTAAGCCTATAGAATCTCCCCAGCCCAGTACTCCCGTGAACGGTACAAATACACCTCACCTTGGTGGTGGCAATGGCACACCAGCATCTGGAGTTGTAGAGAACATGGGTAAATCGATGTTTTATTTGGATGACCCATCAGGACCAAATTCGCAGCCAGTCAGTATTCATCAAGCGAATCAACATCAAAACAATAATCCGACAAGTGCACAATCGGGAAATACTGTCACTTCTAATAGTAGTTTGTTTTCGTCGTTGCGCGGTGGGGCAGGAAGTTTTCTAAAAAACCTTAAAGATACTTCATCTAAGGTAATGCAAACGATGCAACAAACTATCGCGCGAACTGACTTAGATATCAGCTATATAACATCGCGTATTCTTGTGATGCCTTGTCCGTCAGAAGGGTTCGAATCTGCTTATAAAACTAATAATATTGAGGATGTGCGATTATCAATTGAAAGTCGCTTTCCACCTCAAACAGTGAGCATATATAACTTTGGCCAAAGCAACTGCCCTCGATTACCACCACCTGTGCGTACTGTCGAAGTTGGCTCTATATATATTTGCATGCAGGCGCATTCACCCAGCTTGCAAGGCATGTTTTCAGTTGTCGAAGACATGTACAGCTTTTTAGCCGCGGATCCTAAATCTGTTGTTATTATACAAACGAACGACTCAGGTGGTTGTTCTGCCGCAACGATAGTTGCCGCGCTTCTTATGTATGCGAACTTAATTCATGAACCCGAAGACGCTGTCCAAGTTTTCGCTGTAAAACGTCACCCCATTAACCTTAGACCATCGGAATTTCGTTATTTATATTATTTTGGCGATGTTTTGCGTCCAACACCATTGTTACCGCATTACAAAAGTATCAACTTAGTATCTTTGTGTTGCCAACCCGTGCCCCGTATGACCAAAGCACGTGATGGATCTCGCATTTACATGGAAGTCTACTGCAATGATCGACTAGTGCTCAGCACTTTGCAGGACTACGAAAAGATGAGGTGAGCTAGAGATTGTTAAAATTTCAAGGTTTTTCTCAATGTTAACAATAAAAATTCAACCGTTCTCAGGCTGTATTTAGCAGGACCGGGAAAAATTATGTTGCCCATAAATCTAACGGTTTGTGGAGATCTGATAGTGGTGCTTTATCATGCGCGGAATGCACTTAAAGGCATGGTGCGTCCTCAGAGTTTGAAGATTTGTCAATTTCAAATCAACACGGGCTTTATACCGGAACAAGAAACATTGATAACATTTTCCTTGAATGATCTCGATGATTTACCGGATGCCGATCAGGTTCCTCATGACTTTTCGGTTTCGCTGTCGTTGAGTTTCACAGATAACGAATGCCCGCCGAGTAGGAATCCTCCTTGGTTACCAGCAAAGCCCATAAGAAACGCACAACATATATTTAGTTCGCAATTAGAATTCGAGGAAATGGTGGATAATTTCGGCAAGTCCCTATAGTATTTCAGCCCATTTCATTAATTTATTTATTTTCCTTACTACAGTGACAAAACCTAGTTCCATTAACAAACCTACGCCTGTTAAGTCAGTTGCTTCGGTAGATAATGTACCCAAACTATTGCGTTCTGATTCAACGCCTATTTTACCTGATGTTACCGAAATAAAGCAAGAGGATGTACCTCGAATCCAACCTCAACCATCACCACCAATAGACTTGCTTAATTTAAACCAGCCCCAACCCCAGCTGCCGGTGCAAGATCCACAAGCCACGGTTATGCCAACGAGTGACGCTAGTTTCGATTTGCTTGGAGCATTCGGGGATGATAATTCATCTGGCATCGGCTCGGCTCCAATACCTGATATTTTAGGTAAAGGTTTGGTAGATTCAAAAAAGTCTTAGACTTTAAGGTGGCGATCCAAATTCATATCTTGCCAAGTTCTGAATTGAGACCTAAATTTCTATTTTAGAAATTAATGTACAACCAACTTCAAATGCCAACCTTGATGATATCTTCGGCTCAGTTGCTTCACCGGCGCCGAAAATCAACCTGGAGTTTAATAGTTTTTCTGTACACCAGCCGACACCAACTAGTGTAAACACTTCAGCGACGACTAAAGTAACCCCAACCTCAGCAACTGGTACTTACTTTGGCTCAGTGCCTACATTCAACACGAATCCCAGCAAGGAACCATCACCACAAAATGTTCGTATAAACGTAACTTTTTTGTTATATTTATGACTAGCTACTATTGGATTTTTTCAGCCCAAAGATCCATTTGCTGACATTGCCAATTTAGCCTCTGGTCTCAATATCAACTTCAACCCACACACGTTAGGCAGTAAATCAACAGGTGCTACACCCATCGGAAATAGCCCATATACTACACAATTCTCGAGTCCAACACACAACGCCAGTAGTGTGCGAACACCACAGTCACAGCAACCGGCTGCTACTGTCTCGCCGAATCATATAACGTCTCCAAGTGGGGTAGGGGGTTTTGGTGCATCCTTTGCAGCTGGTCCTACAACATTTTCATCGTCTTCAAGCCAAAACACAAATCGGCCATCACCACAAACTACTGCTGCATCGGGAGGATCAACTACCCAGTCGAATAGACCAGACTATAGTCGATCGAATTTCGACACACCTAAATCGGGGCAAAACGCCGGCGCACAAGCAAAAAATGCAGACATTTTTGCCGACATACTAGGAGAACAAGGCTATAGGTTTGGCAGTAAAATGAATCAAGGCCCGCGGTCCATTAACGAAATGCGTAAGGAGGATCTCATTAAAGAAATGGATCCAGAAAAAGTAAAAATCATGGAATGGGTATGTGTACTTTGTTCAATTCGTGGGGGAATTTTTTACCTGATTATAATTTGATAGACTGAAGGCAAAAAGAACAACATAAGAGCACTCTTGTGTTCTATGCACACAGTGCTTTGGACGGATGCAAAATGGACTAAATGTGAAATGTCTACGCTCATTTCGCCGGCAGATGTGAAAAAATCTTATAGACGTGCATGTCTGGCTGTACACCCAGATAAGGTGAGAAAAATAATGCATTAAGACTGTGTGTTTTAGCTGTTTTTCGAATGATTTCTATTTAGCACAACGGCACAGAAAATGAGAGCATAGCTAAATTGATATTTATTGAGCTAAACAATGCATGGACTGATTTTGAGAATGACACAACGCAGCAAAATTTATTTACCACATAAAATGTGAAATTTTAAACGCACTACCCAGCGTAATGATACTTTCTTTCAGTACTGCGGAAAACCAATCTTTAGTTGCTTTGGATAAATTAGTTAAAATAGGAATATGTACAATTCAATTACATAGTTGATATGTGAGTATGTATAATTTTTTTATTAACTAGCTTTTAAATGACTGGTATATGTAATTCGAGACGCCATTAACTGTAAGTTTCGCATAGTAATATTATACCGGATGTATTCTTTTGTATACCTACATACATATATATTATTTGAAACAAAAATTCTAAAAGATAATAGCCAATGTATTTGATTCTTTTTTCAAATGGTCTGATATATTTACTTAATTGCTTTACTAAGAAAATGCCTTAAATAGTTAATTTTTTTACATTAACTTATTTCCTTCCCTACTGATTAAAAATCAAAAGGAATATTCCCACCATATCCTTGAGTGCTAGAGCGACAGTCGTTCAGTTTATGAAACTCAATTCAATTTAAGAGATTGGATGTATTTAATTTTAGTTGTTGAATTTAGCTAATGATAAGGCAAGCAGTATTAAAAAATTTTAATTGGTTTGTATTTTTTTTGCTAAAATAGGAGCTCTGCCCATTCGATTCAAAAAGTGTTATTTGAAAAACAAAAAGTTTGGCTACGTTTTTTAATGGATCTAAAAAAAACCTTTTATGAAACCCTTTTGCTTAAAGCTCATGATTCAATAATAGAAAGGTTTTTTAATAAAACAGTCTTCTCTCTCCCACACATAAAATCGGCTCCTTTACTTGTGCAGAATGTTGCTTACTCTACAGTTTCTAGTGATATTAGTAGTAAAACCCAAAATTCGTCATACTAAATATTCGTTGGCATCACCTTCGTTTGCGTAATTTTCTAGAACAACAGCCTCATTGCGCAAGACGTAAATTAGGCTAAATTGTACGACCCGACAACATTGGCATTGCCTACTGTCGTGCTGAACTAAGTAAACGACGAAAATCGTCGAAAACTTCGCAGTGCTGCCAAGTTTTTCCGTTTTAATACACTAGTCGAGTGGAAATTTTAGGCAATGACGTGAAATTTTCGATACGATTCGACTCTCGAAAAACGACTTACATTCGATACGACTATTGCAATGAGGATGCAAGTGTAGAATAGTAACCGTTTAGCTATAAAATAACCAAAAATGCCGATAGATAGAACTTTTTACGCTAATTACAACGATACCAAATTTATTTGGCGCAGGCAAAAAATAACGAAGATATAAGAGGTTTATTTGCTTTGTTTATTTGTATTTTTATTATGACTGAATTGTTGAAACACAAAAGTACATCATGATAAAATATGTAATATCGAATTAAAGATAATAGTTGTGTTTTCGTATTCTCTAGCAAAAAATGTCCAGTAACTTGCCAGTAACCAAATTTCAGAGAGTAAGCCAATATTTACTCCCAATGAGTGAAATATGCAAGAAAGTACGAAAATGCAAAACCAGCAAGAAGCTGCTAGTTTTATGAACAGCTGGTTAATTTGTTTGCAATTAGTTGCTAGTAAAAATTTATCCAGTAAAAAATCCAATAAAACTTGCAAGTTCAGCTGTCATTTTTGCTCTCTCAATTTCCCCTCTTTTGCTAGTTTCTTGCAAGTTTTTGCGCACGAAAACGACATCCAGTAAAAAACCAGTAAAATTAGTACTGGATTTACTGGATAGTGCTTACGCGAACAGGGCTAATAACTTGTACTTTCTAAATAATACAAATTTCTTTACCATTAATTATGCAGTTTTTTTCAAAAAAGATTATTTCATGAAAAAATAACATTTGTTCGTTTTTTAGTGGTTTTGGTTTAAAAATACAAGAAGCTATAAATTATGTACACCAGCTGAAAAACAAATTAATTATCTTTATGGTGGCGTCATTAGTTTTTTATCGGTTATACCTACAGTTGGTAAATTATTAATATTTAAAAAATTTAAAAACTGAACTTTAACCTTCTAGAACGTCTTGATTTTTTTACTTGCGCCAAATAATTTTGGCATGGTTGAAATAAGCATAAACAGTTCTATTGATCTGCAGTTTTCGTTTTTGCATAGCTGAACGGTCGGTTCCAGAAAATGATGAATAACTTAAATCAAACATTTACTTCCAAAATACAAATCTAGATAAAGGAGTGTCAAATTTTAGCTGTCACAAATTACACAACCTTGTATTATTGAATCATGCTTAAAGCCATGATAAAAACATTACAAGGTAAATTCATTCTCTCATTTCGTCGGCCATGATTTTTTTCTGACGTTTGCCAACATTTTAAAATCATATAAAATTGAAAATAAAAAAATTAAATTGTTCACAATTGTTGTTGTTTGAGATTGAAAATGAGAATGTGTGTGTGAGTTTGAGTTTTGATTTTAAAATTATATTGTTGGCAAACGTCAGACTGCCTCTCAATGGTTTTACCTTGTTATGTTTTTATCATGCTTAAAGCTGTTAAAAAATTAACAAAGTAACATATAAAATGTTTATTAATTCTTTTTGAGGTTTGGTTACAATAAGTAGGAAGAAATTATGGTTTATTTTTATATCCGAGCGCACATGTGCACAAGGGCATTATAATTTTGTTTAGAATTATGGTAAGAAATAATATTCAGCCTCATTGCGCAAGTCGTAAATTAGGCTACATTTTACGACTCGAAAACATTGGAATTGTCTACTGTTGTGCTGAAATAAGTAATGCGCAAAATACATCACACAAATATTTGCGCAAATACAAATTGCTACAAATAAGATTCTTACTCGATTCTATTTGTATTAATTGTGCATAAACGACGAAACTCTTCGCAAACTGTACAGTGCTGCCAAGTTTTTCCGTTTTAATAAACTAGTCGAGTGGAAATTTTCGATACGAATCGACTCTCGAAAAACTACTTGCTTTTGACACGACTTTCGCAATGAGGGCGATTATTATGAAATTTTTGGAAAATGGGCGTGACCCCGCCCACTTACTTTGAAATGCTGTATCTCAGTAGCCGCTTCACTAATCCTTACCAAACCCTGTCCGAGCCTTGCTTAGGGTCCACCTAAGAAATCCGTTGAAAATCTTTGAAATCGGGCCATAACCACGCCTACCTTCCATATAATACGGCAATCCAATTACGTAGTTCTCTCTCTCATTCGTAATGCGCACTCCAATTACCCTACGATTTACGTAATTCGCCATACAAAGTTTTGAAAGCGAATTACCTCATTTGTTTGTAATTCAGATACAATTACCATGCGAATTACGAACATATCGGTGTCGGCTCAAATTTTTATCGGAAATTTATCGAAGCTAGCTCACAAATTAGAACTTGCATTTTTTCTGAGTACGAAAACTAAAGTTTATAGATGTGTATATCCCTAATTTAATACGGAAATTTATAAATTTTCAGGAAGAAACTAACTTTTGCATACATTTTTCAGCGAAGAAAAACAAAAACAAAATAGAGACAGAACTGTCAAGTCGAATTAAGAATATGCCCGTGGGAATGGGGTAATTCGCGATCGTAATTCGGGGAGCGAATAAAGTAATTCAGGATGCCGTGGGAAAATGCTATTACGGTATTTTACAAAAACACGAAAACTGCGGTAAATCAGTAGGAGGATACAATTCACTCCAAGTTAATACTTTCAACAATCGCTTAACAATAAATAAGACTGTTATAGGCTTCTACGAATTGGGCGTGGCACCGCCCGCTTTATGACTACAAAGATCTATCTCGGTAACCGCTTTATTGATTTCTACCAAACTTGGTTCAATGATCTTGTTTTATTTAAAACAGCCTAACGTCCGCTGCGTGCCAAAAGTGCTAGCAAAATTTTTTATACAACTGGCGAATCAAGCTTCCAGTACCTTTTCTGGTTGTAGATATGTACATACACATAAGCAAGTAACTCGGTTTATTTGAGGCAACAACTGTATGGCTACGGTGACCATATTTATGAGAGCTGAATACGGGACAAAAAATAATTTTGAAAATTTTTTCCACAGCAGCTTACAGATCTTAAAGCCTTCTTCAACGATCCTAGATGTATTAGCGCTGCAACAGTATCCTTTCACCCCGTAAAATTTGTTAAATTTGAATATAATAAAGTGCGATTTTAAGTCGCCAAGGCTTACCATTAATTTTTGGCAATGTTTTTTTTTGTGGCGGTGTCCGATAATTTTTTTGAAAGATAAGCAAATGAGCAGAATTTTCACTCGCACTTTATTACATTCAATTTTAGTGAAACATTGCAGAATTTATTTTTATAGTTTTTGTACAAAGTTGGAAATTTGGTATTCTACGATTTTTGTTAGGAGCAGAGTTCAACTTTTATAAAATAAATAATAAACATTAAATAAACTAAGGAAGAATAGCGAAAACATACTAAAATGTCGAGTCCTAATTTCTATTTTGATCACTGTATTTATTCCTCGATTCGAATCACAGGCATTCAGATAAGAAAATAATAACTGTTTATGGAGAAAATTACGATCATATACCATGGTCCAATAATACAAGGTGGTATCAGTTGTGACAGCTCAATTTGACACTACCTTAGCTCAGTAGAATGAGAAGAAAAACGGGAAGAAATGA